CAATCAAAGAGTTTTTGAACTTATGATAACCATAATTCCCAACATCTCCCACTACTATAAAATCTTATTTCAAGCTTCAATGTGGTACACCAACAATGGTTTCTCTAAACATGACACCTACGTTTTTAGTGAACAAGATAGTAAATAAAGTTTTATTTGCAAAAACCACCAAAGAATTTATCGATTTCCTTTTCCAAATTTTTTTCTTTACCTCTTGACACCCTCATCGAGTCCAAACAAATGATGGGTTGCTCAGGTGAACTCAAAGAAAGCGTGAGGACTTTAATCAAGCATACATTAAACAAAAGATTTGGTGTGAATGATTTGAGTCGACTTAAGAAGAAAACAATGTCTTTTGGAAAGACGAGGTAATATTTCATATTGTTGTCTTATTTTATTCGATGGATTAATGTGATTTTTTTGAGTTTTTCTAGGCATCGAAGTTGGACTAATGTGATTTGTTGTTTGAGTTTTTGTTGGCATCAAAGTTGCATTAATGTGATTTTTTGCTTGAGTTTTTGTAGGCATTGAAATTGTTGAAGGCATATTTTATGACTTTTTTTCTGTAAAAATTAAGAATCGTATAAAGGTTATATATTTTATTTGATTATAGACCCTGAAGCTTAAAATAATCTCTATACATAACATGAAAGTTTTTTACCTTTTCATGGTCGCTTATTTGGATATGAGTTTTAATATTTGGATATATTGTAAAAACATGATTCCTATACTTATTATTTTGAAAATAAACTTTGAAATAATGACATCAATGTGCCAAAATTATTAGATACATTTAAATCAACTTAATTATGTTTATAAAGTTGCATATTTTTTTATTCACTCAAACAATTAAACCCAACTAATAAATATGTTTTGATTAATTTGTATATAAACAATTTATTATTATTATTATTATTATTATTATTATTATTATTATTATTATTATCTCTGAAAATTATAAAAAATATTAATATAGATTGATGTTTTTTTTTCAAATAGAAAAAAATCATGTACCTAATACTTTTTAATAAACATATAATCTTCTAAATAACTAAATAATTTGTTAGAGAACTAATACAACTACTCTAATATATTAGCAATTAAAAACCGGTTGAATAAATAGAAAAATTAAAATTAACTTTTTAATTAATTAAAATAAGAATAGTTATTAATAATAAAATTTTCTTTAAAAAATATGATTAATATTTGAAATAATAATCATCTTCGAACGTCAAAATAATTTTGTTTAATTAATTAGTCACGACAAATAATATTTAATTTTATATACAAGCAACATGTGGCTAAATATCATTATGGCTAAATATTATTATGATGATATGATCCTAAGAAATATATATACAAATGGAGTAACCATTAAAATAGTTAAAAATAAATCAAAATTTAATATTATTTTTATCTTATGCATAATGTATCGGGAGAGGCTATCCACCTTAATTGATTTAATTATGTACATATCTTCTCATATATTTAATTACAATGTTTCATGTTAACATTATGATAAAAATTATTATTTCAAAGTTAATCACAAAGAGATAATTACTTTTAATAACATATATTTATCTATAGTTATATTATTGTATTCTGCGCGCAACACGCGGTTATTCGTCTAGTTTGATTATAAATAAAAAAGCTAATCATGCAGTTGTACAAGAAATGGTTTCATCTGGTTTGATTATAAATAAAAAAGCTAATCATGCAGTTGTACAAGAAATGGTTAACCGTTTCACTGTGATCGTCACAAGTTGGACAAAGAAGCGACTCAATATTAATCCCTCTTTTATCCAAATTAATTTTAGTCCGCACCCTCCTTCATCGTAATCTCCAAGTCAAAACATCAACTTTGATAAAAACAAGATTGTTGCATCTAGTTAGATTATCACAAACTATTAAAGTATTATTATTAATATACTTTCTAGCCAACGAAACCAAATAGTCCCTCGTAGTATCAAGCTCCCAAGACCCACTATCATTATGATTAGAAAGAATAATAGACATCAATATTTCTTGTAAATAGAGATATTGTTCTTCGTCCCCTAGATTATTTTTTTTAGAACAACTGAATATATTAAAACTATATTAGCAAGATGCTAGCAACAAAGAAAAATTACAGAGAGTTGTTATAAAAGAGGATTTTGTAACCACATAGTCCAAGTGATGTTACTTTTACTACATCTATTAACCCAATCATAAGAGTGAATAACAATACTTTCAAATATATGACTTTTTCTCATGGCATGCATCTGAAAGACTTCACTGTTCGTGTATTGCCAAATGATCCAAATCGTAGTCATAACGACGACTTTAAGAACATTTATCCTCACTGGACTCATGGTGATAGAGTCCACCCATCTCATAAGGTCGTCAACGTTCCCGAACAGAGGGAAAGGAATATCCACCCATTTGAAGACCTTCACCCAGATCTGATTTGCCACCTCACAATTAACGAACACATGATTGAAATCCTCAACTTAAAGAGAGCACGAGGGACAAAGGACAAAGGACATAAGGAACATCAATATTCATGTATTCCAGATTGTCTCTAGTAAGCAGCCTATTCAACAACACTCGCCAAATATGGACATTTAGCTTAATGGGAACCAGCCTGCACCACCTTGAAAGAGGACCTTCCTATAAGATAACACTATCAATATGGCATCTAGTGTTACTAACCGCAAACGTACCATCCGTGTCAATACCCCACTCTCATTTATCTTGCTGATCAACAATGGGAACATGACTAAGCATCTCTGCCAACGCCTTGAGTTGCGTATCAGTACGCCCACCCTCACGAAAATCTCGAAACCACTCCCAAACCCAACCATCAACTCTCCATCTATCAGCGACCAAACAATCCTTATGATTCTCCAACGCGTAAAGGCGGGGGGAAACGATCCTTAAGACTCTCATTGCCCAGCCAAATGTCCATCCAAAACCGAGTATCACCTCCATTGTCAATTCTTTTACGTAACAAAGAATGCAGAATAATTTGGAGAACATTCAATTTATTAAACAACTTCACCATATTGGCCCACACCTCTCCACCCTTCAGATTGAGCATATCCGATCCAAGGCCCCCAATACCCCGTGGATACTCCTAATCACCTTGACCCAAATGGAGTCTATATCGGTATAAAAACGCCATCTCCATTTAAGAAGTAACGCCATATTAAACGCCTTCAAAACTACCAATGCCCAACCCACCTTTATCCTTGGAGTTCAACACCAAATCCCATTTAATCCAGGAAATCTTCCTCTCTGGATCACTCCCACCACAAAAGAAGCGAGATCTCAATGATTCTAGGTAATCAGTCACTGTCTCAGGCATTTTGAACAAAGACATGTGATACGTACCCAAGCTACTAAGGACGGACCTGATGAGAGTCAACCTACCCCCCACCGAAAGTAAATTGACTTTCCAATTTGCCAAACGCTTCCTAAACTTTTGAGTCACCGTATTCCAATTAGCAATATGATTCATCTTCGAGCCAACAGGTAAACCCAGATATGAAAAAGGCATAAAAGCAGTCGAACATCCTGTAACCACAACCATCTCTTCCACCTGTTGCAAAGTAAGACCAACCCCATACATACTCGATTTCTGCAAGTTAAGTCTTGGACCTAAAACTCAATAGAAGCAGTTAAGGATGGTAACCAAATTGGCTATATTCTGCTCGTCCCAATCACCCATAAACAAGGCATCGTCTACATAGAAAAAATGAGACAAATAAAGCCCATCGTCACCCACATTCACACCACGAAATAAGCCCTAACCCACAACATCCTCTAAAGCAACATGCAACCCTTCCATGACCAAGATAAAAAGAAAAGGAGACAAATGATCACCCTGACGAAGACCCTTCTTTAGCAAGAACTCCTCTGTGGGGCTCCCATTGACTAGAATGGAGGCACGCGTAGACTCAAGACAAGCTTTAATCCATCCTATCCATTTATGATCGAATCCCATAAAATCCATGATCTATAGCAAATACTTCCAGCAAACCGAGTCGTAAGACTTATTGAAATCTACCTTTAAAATCATAGCCTTTTTCTTCTTCCTCATATATCGGTCAATGATTTTGTTTACCATCAAAGGCCCATCTAGAATTTGTCTGCCTTTAATAAAAGTTGACTGCTCCGAGCTAACAATAGCACCAATCACAAGGGCCAGACAGTTCGCTAACAGTTTTGCAATAATTTTATATTGCACTCCAATTAGGCTAATTGGCCTATACTCATTAATAGTAGAGGGGCTATCCGTCTTCGGAATAAGAGTAATGAAAGAAGAGTTACACTCGTTCGGAATCACACCCATGTCAAAAAAACTCATCAACAAAGTTGCCATCCTCCTTCAAGATCTCCCAAAACTTCTTGACAAAGCGAAAAGAAAAACCATCCGGTCCCGGTGCTCGATCACTACCACAAGACCAAACCGCATCACGAATTTCTCCATGAGAGAACCGAGAACCCAAAAAAATCATGGTGACCCGTGTCAAGCGATCTAAGCGTAGGGTTGGGATGCGGCATAGAAGCACCCGATAATCAAAGTAAGAGATCATAGGATCATTTGAAAAGTCTCGAGCTATGGCAAAATCAAAGTGACTCTCTTCTCTATAAATTGTTGTTATGATCTTAACCCGTTAAGTGATAAAGCTAATGTGCCTTCAAGGAATTCTCATCTTCATTCAAATAAAAAGCTTTTTAATACCCATACCTCCATTACTCGAGTGATTAGTTTACTTTTGATATCTAAAAGATCAAATAAATAAAATAACATAATTCAAGATTGTTAGATTAGACTTTACGTCTTTTGTACAAACAATTTTTATTGCGTTGACATCGTATAAATATACATTTGAAACATATGCAAATATAACATAGAAAAAAAAAACATGATGTTGAATTTAGTATCATCATGTTTACAAGGTTGCATTCTTAATGTAAATCTTCTTCATATACATTTCAAAGCACTTGAAGATAGCAAAAAAAAAAAAGAGATTGAATTGATTATTTATCACGAGTTTTGTCTAGAAAACTTAAGACGAAACCACTAACAATACGCCTTGCAACAGGATTAGGTATACACCGACATAACCTTCCATCAATATATGCAACCATACCTGCAAACACAAACCTCCCAACTCCCCATTTCAATACAGACATCTTACTACTCTCCTCTTCTTTTGTTATTTCTTTTGGTGGGTCCCCCTTAAACCTGTCCCCCCAATTGATTTTAGCCGTTAGATCACCCGCCTGCTCCCTCAGCCACCCGATTGCAAAATTCACAAACAGATGCTCACACAAAGTCAAAATCGTTGGACCGATTCTCCATTCCTACAAAAAAAAAAAAAACATCAGATGTCATATGTAACAAGGGCATTTATGTCTTTTCCACGGGCAAGAGGCCTGTCCCACCCTTTTAGAGTGTAGACTTACGTTTTGTCCACGAAGGTGATGTAAGGGATGAGAGAAAGAAGAGTCTCCTTTCAACAATGCCTTGCTGATGAGGAAACCCTTCACATGATCCATAATTTCATCTATGAGAACACTGTTTGGTGGTAGATTCTTTAGAACAACCTACAAAATACAAAACAACATTTTTAATTGGAATTAAATTAACATATCACATATGATATGATATATGATGATATAATATTACTGATACCTGCTCATCAATGACTCTGACTCTGAGATATTCGTGTTTATACAATGTATCCAACATAGCTTGCAAATATCCTTCGATATATAACTGTCAAATTCCAAGTATATTATATTCAGAATTCAGATAAAAAATAGATTAAAATAATTAAATAAATAAATATAAATGAGGTACCTCATCAATACCAGGATTACGATCAAGCTTAATTTTTCTATCTGGGCCACCTTCTGTAAAAGCACTACCCAATACGGAAGGCTCCATTGCCAGTTTCAGTACTCCTTGTTGAAACCCACCAAACTACATGCATCATCATAACATAAAATATGGTCAACCTTTTACCTTACTTTCAACATAAAAAAAGAAAAAACTAAATTTTACAAATTTAGTCCCTGTGCTATAGTGTTTGTCCTGGATATGGTCCAAATACGATTTTTCTTGCTTTTTTAATCCACATAAATTCTTTTTGTTTTGGATTTGGTCCCTACCCCCCAATCTCATGCGGTCTACACCCATGTAAAATGACTTATTTGCCCCTATTTTAATAGTTTTTAATCATTTACTCCCCCCCCCCCCCAAAAAAAAAAAAAAAAAAAAACAGAATCACAAGAATATCTACGAACATACATGAACAGCCGCCCCTCTATATTAAGGGCGAAATGGTCATTTTACAAACTTTGGTTTTGGACGGCATGATGGGTAGGGACCAAATCCAAAACAGAACAAAATCACGGATCAAAAAACCAAGAAAATTTGTTTTTACTCTATATTCAAAAAAAAAATATAGCACAGGGACCAAAGTTGTAATTTACTCTATTTTCAAAAGAAAAGGAAGGAAGGTTACCATTCCATCAAACCCACTGGTTTCCGCTCCCCTCAGCACTGAATCTGATATCTCAGTCACAGCAACAAACAGTATATTTGATCCAGCCGTTTTAACCTGCAACATCAAAAATACTATAAACTTTAGAAGCTCTGAAAAAATAAATAACTAAAAATAAGAAAGAAGAAGTGCACTTACAGTTTTTCCTAGATCACCTAAATAACGTTTGGTACCAGATAAGCCTTTACCATCAATGTATTTACTCAGGAGCTTGAATGTGCCTGCAACCATTCACCAAAAACAACTTAAAAATACTAAAGAATAAGGACAAAATATAAAACATTTGTACTTTTATAATTTTTATTGATTTAGTCACTTAACTATTTTCTGTAATGATTAAACCATTATACTTTTTTTTGATCTTCTAAGGAAAAAAAACATTTTCCCCTGTTCCCCTGGTTTAATATCAGGGTAAAATAATTTACCCATCAAACTATTATATTTTGTCGATTTAGCCACTGAACAAAAATTAAAATAACAAAAAAGAAAAAGTAGAAAAAAAAAACATCATATTAGCAATTAATCACTAAAACTTTGCTTTTTCCAATCAAAATATAAAAGTTTCAGAGCATTTTGACATGTTACATCATCAAAATGGTTAAACTGAAAAAAATGGTATTTATCCATAAGAAAATAATAAAAGTTGAAACATAACAATAGAAATGGTGAAAAGTAAAAAAGTGAAATTAAGAGAGACCTAAGGTGAGACCAGGAAGCTTGATCAAGGCAGTTGAAGGATCAAAAAAGACATCAAGGGATGAAGAAGCCAAGTCATCAAAAATTGAAGCAAAAGCTGGAGGAAGCAATGGGCTTCCTTTTGCTATATAGATTGCACGCATGGCATACCTAAATACACGTAATATTTTGATAATATCATATCATAGAAAATAAATCAATTTTAATTTCAAATTTAGATAGATGGGATTGGGATTCACCATGAATAATGTTGTGCACACTTGACAGAAAGTTCACGTATTGTAATCAAAGCGTGAGTAACCAGGACACCATTCAGTTCTACAGTCTTGTTTTTTATTTCAGGAACCTAATAAATAAATAAAAAACAATATTAGCCACTTACAAATTATAAAATTATAATTCTTATGACAAACCTTTATCACACTGTGCAACAAAGATCTCATTGTCTCCTGTGTTGAATTATAGCTAGAATACGAATCTCCTGGGAGAAAGCTTGCTATGATCTTCAAGAAAAGTAAACAATGTTTTTAAAATTAAAAAAATTTATAAAAAGAATCAGAGATATAGTAAAGATATGGAGATTAGTATAAAACCTTTACTGGATGTATCTCAAAATGATCAAAGTAATACTGCTGACTAGGAGTATTTGGATCACTGAGTGATGTTCTATAGAAAGGGACAATTTTCATCAGGGTTTCCTCATCCAAGTTCAAATCAAATGGCTACATATTCAAAAAAGTCAAACAGATTATTTTATGAAAGATGATAGTATTAAAAAAAAAATCTAAAAGTTATTGTTTTACCTGAAGAACAATGGATAAGTATTTTATTTGTCTGATATTAGAAGTTGATGGAAGCAAAATGAGAACTACACGAAGCATGTTGTCATATGTATCTGAGAATCCAGTTTGATGTCTTCGAAGCATAGCAGCAAAAAGGAGCTCCTACCCACTTTTGATCCACACTCACAGACTGCAGTAATAATATATAATTATTTCTTGAGTAAATTACAAAACTAGTCCCTGTTCTTTCTAATTTTTTATCGTTTTAGCCCAAAATTCCTGGTACGTTCAGATTTTGGTTCTTATTTCAAGGTTCCATGGACCAAAACCGAGAAAGGTTTCAACTTTGGACTAAAAATGGTAAGAACAGAAAGAACAGGGACCATTTTGGTAATTTATTATTGTTTCTTTGATACCTGAACCCTAAGTTGATTCAATCTTTGTTGATCAGTAAGCATGGAATCCAGACTGATGTTATTAAGCCGCATAACAATGATTGGTGTGTAGACAAGTGACTCATCTGACTCTTCTTCCTTCAGTAACCAATTTATATGTGAAAATATTACAAATTTGAAAAATTAGAAATAAAGAGTAAAGTATGTCTACCATTTTTTTTATTGATAATAAAAGTGTGACTAACCTGTTTTGCACGTTCACTGAAGTGGATAGAAAATCTAGAGACTCTTAATGTAATTTTAGCACCAGGGTAGAATTGTCTATTTAGTTTTTCTGCTGTCATTACGTTCACAAATTCTAAGAACTCTAGTGAGGCCATGTGCATAAACTTCATAGCCCAAATTCACCATATCCATCTCATTTACATGACTCAATTTTGACATTTTACCCTTTTCTCCTGTCTTCTTCTTATCCAAAGGGAAATTTAACCCTAATGCTCTACGTTGGCTGACTTTATACAAGGGTTTCCATTCTCGCACCTTGTCAACGCTAATTTCACGTAGCAGATGCAAATCTACAAAAACAAGGGTAAGAAAGATGATGATATTCAAGAAAGAACATTTATTGGTGAAATTAGGGTTAATGGAGCTTGAGTAATGAAGAAGAATCTTGATGCATTTTTGTCATTAAAATTTTGGATGTCTATCTTGGGAGCAAATTCTTGATGAATCTAAATCACTCTTCTACATTTAAACTTCATTGTTGAAATTGGGGTTTATGGAGCTTGAAAAATGAAGATGATTCTTGATTGATGTATGTTTGTAATTAAGATGTAAATGTTGGTTATTAACAAGATTTAAAGGGAAAATTCCTCTTTCAATGTATGAAACTAATTGTAATGTCAAGTAAGGTTAGGGTTTATTTTATACCCATTTGGGGCTAACTTGATAGCTTGATGCATGAGTAAATTCCTGTTAGAAACTATAACATTATGCTGGATTAAAGTTAAATATGGATCCAATTTTTACAAGATGATACAAGTGTTGAATTAAAAGCTACATATTCTTAAGTTAAAAGAAAAAGGTGGTATGGAAATTGGTTAATTATTGGTAAATTAGAGCTATATGATGAATATCTAACCATAAACGTTATGAAAGCATCAAGTAATGAATAATGTGGATTATGTCAGCTTTAAATGATGGAAAACTCTATGTAGATAGATATAAATACGGTTGTTTAACCTAACTTATTATATTATAAAAAATGTATTTTATAGTAGGGTGTTACACGAAATGAGAAAGAAGAAATTACCACTTATTTGGATGACTAGCTTATGAGGAAGAGATAAATCATCCCATACATAATTAACTTGCTTTCCAGATCCCAAAGTTTCTAGTTCTGTTGAGCCCTGAAAACATTAATCATGATTGAAATTGAGTCCTTCATATGAAGAAGTTTGATCAAAAAAAAATCCAATATTCATGTTCTTAAGAACCTTTTGATAGTAAGTTATTGATGCATCACGCAAACAATTCTCAACCCTGTAAGGCAAATTCATGTGAGGTGGTCTGTGGAAGCGTAAAACAAGAGACGAATTCTCTTCAGAAACAATCACAACAGCAAATTCTTGTGTATTTTCTTCATTTTCTTTGTCTTTTTCTTTTATAGATCTTGGAAATTTTAGAAAAAATCTCCCCATTGAAGCAACACATATTGGCCCTGACCAACCTAATCCAGTTTCATTTGGAGAAAACTGAATAAACAGCAATGAATCATCTTCACCATTTCTATGCTTTCTGATGAAATTCTCAAAAATGCTAGTTTCCCTTTTTTTAGTAGTTCTGTTGCAAAGTCGTAAGGCTTTTCTCTGTTTACTACTGACAGTTGTCATACACTCCACATCATCCTTTTCATAATTTAATCAAAATATAAAATGTTAGCAAAATGGATATTATAATTTTATAATACAAGAAACCAAAAGGGGTATATATACAATATACCTCTAGGTTACACTGACGAATAGTGATCACTTCATCTGATTCATTTAGTAAAACATATCTTGGACTCAAAGATACTACTTGTGATGGAGTTTGTGTGTTGATAGATGAATGTAATGAAACACCCAATTTTGTAATATATACGAGTCCTGGTTTTTCTTCCATTTCTAGATTTATCTCTGTAACGCCTGAGACTGCATCCAAGTCTAGCAGAGCTTCATTTGCTTTGTCATCCATTAATTTCAGGGACACCTTGTTTGTTCTAAAGACATGAATGTGTGAAATAGTTTTATTTACAATTCTAAATGATTAGACTAATGACTAATGAGTTACTATCAATGGATAACTACTACCTTAAGAACCATGATTTTGTTGACTTAGGAGGCAGAAAAGCTCCTAGCTTTGAATATCCTTGAGAAGAAAGTTCCTCAACTTCATTTCTGAATAAAAAATTGTGTTAATGAAAATGTGGTGAAACTGAAAGGTGAATACTAATAAACATGTACCTAGATAGGGGGTTCTGATTTGGAGCAAGACAAAATAAACCAAAATCAGTGTTGTTCTTGAGTGTATATGGTGTATATATGGCAGCCTGTAGAAATATACATGAATCAGCTCTTGAAATGGAGGATTGTATTGGGAATATAAATAATTAGATACTAGAGAGAAAAATATATATACCTCCAGTATGCCCCTATGTCCACATGACAAACTTAAAAGACCAAAATACCTTCCATCACCAAAGTTTAACTCCATGTCCAAGTTTTGATTACCTTTTTTCTGCTTCAGTAACTTTTTAGCCCAATCACCACAATTTACAGATTTGCAAGTTAATCCAAATGCAGTTAAGGTAACATTAAAGAACATTGCCTCAGGGTTAGCATATAAAGTAACACTTGATCCACAAGGAATGGTTGCCTGTTTGCTCATGTTTTCACTCTCTTGGGGAAAATAACGATCTGCAACATGATCAAAGTTGTGACAAAGTCAAAAGTCAAAAATCAAAAAAAGTCAACATTTCATGGTATGATTGTTAGTTGTTACCTTTATCAGTTAAAACCACATGTATCTCTAACTGCAATAGGTTAGAAATCTCAACAGTTGGAAGAATAAAGATTTCCTTTTGTTCAACTAGTGCAACTGCTGAAGCTTTTGATCCATCAGGTTGTAAAATAGGAACATCTTTTTTGATGCTTTGAATTAAAAAGTGTAAGTCATCAATTTCCCCTGTTTTTGATGTTGAAGGAACACGAGCTGTACTGAAGGAAGATTTTTCTGATTCGAGTGGAAAAGCATTGCGTACATGGTAACTTATTTTATCAAATAATCCAGAGAGACGTGCAGCTTTTCCTCCTTTAAGTTCATCAGACCATTCCATGTTGTTGAAACTTGGAGAGTCTTCTGAAACTTTAGGTCTGAAAGAGAATATGAAATTACCAACACTCATAGATCTTAATGCCTTTTTTGATCCACCTGAAGCTTTTATGGCATCAAAAGCTGCTGTGGAATCATCAATGGTGTCCCCTGCTTTAACTACTAAAGAAGCATGATGGGTTTCCTCTTGTTGAGGCCTTTGAAATCGAAGCTCAATTGGGAAGTTAGTTTGATTGTGGATTTTTAATATGGGAGAGACAACAATAGACAAACCATCCTACAAGAAATTAGAAACATTAAGAGAAACATAGTCTTTTATAAGCAAGATTAACAGAAACTATACCTCAGATTTCCATGAAATGTCTACAATAATGAATGGCCCAGGATATGCTTTTGAATCTGTTGAAATACATCAGAGATAAGAGTCAAACTTGGTCAAACAATTATTCTAAAAGTGACTTATGAACATAATAGTACCATTTTTAGAAACTATGCGAGTTCTCCAAGCAAATGTTCCAGATTTTAAGAGTGAAAACTTAATTGGAAATGTCAAAAAGTCTCCTCTCTCTGCAAGTTGGATTGAGACACTTGATGCTTCTGATTCTGGATGCTGGTCTAAAGCCAAGTTTCTGAGAACATACAACATAAATAATGTTATATGAGGGTAAATTGGTAATACAATAACTTTTTAGTGAAAGTCAAAATATATGTGATTTTATATAAGCCTATTAACACATGATATATAGAAATCTATCTCTATTGATCTTGCTCTTTCCTTATTATCATTCATACATGTCAGTGGTATCCATGTTCTCTTCTTTCCAGTGTTAAAAAGTGTGTAATATATATCCAAATACTTTATAATACATATATTCTCTTCTTTCCATGTCAAGTAATTAATTAATCAGTAAAAGTACCTTAAGAAAACAGTTGTGGACTGTTTTCTGGCTATTCTAGCATACTGTTTATCTGAAAACTGACAAAGGAGGACTAGGTCTGATTGGTTCTCAACCTGACAATTAGAAAACAACATAATTTCATGTTAAAGATCTCATACCATAAAATGCATGTTTGGATACATATAAAGAGAGAGAAACACGCATTATATTATGTAATTATTATACACCTTGCAGGAATTTCCCAGAATCACAGAGCTTTGAATTGCATAAGGACCAGCCAAATCCAGTTTTCCAATCACAAACAGAAGTATGTCCAGTGAAAGCTCGATTATTGATACACGAAACTGTTAATCCACAATATGATAATACCTCAGTATGCCATTCACAATAACAAACAAAACTGGATGCAAAATATTATGTGATTATTATGCTTACCTCTTTAACTCTAGCATACAAATGAACAGGCACTCCATAAACACCATGGGTTTGAACCCTAGATCTCCAGAAAATGTTTATTTCAACTGGATGCAGAAATGTGTTCCTGTATTCGAATGCTAAATAAGAAAATAGTTCTCAATATATATTTGCAAAAATAATATAAACACATACCATAAGTTCCTCTTTGCATCAAACGAGTATAGCTCAGTTACAAGTTTGGTTATCACTCTGGCTTTAGCATGTGATTTCTGTATTATAAATTCAGGAACAACCATAGACATCTGGAGAAGTGGGACCCTTTCGATTGTATCTGAAAGTTCATGATATATTGTCACAGAAATTTTGTCAATCTTGATATCAATAAAGCAGCAATAATGGATCATGGGCAAGGGAAAGATCCTGAAATACTTTAAACTTGAATGGATTTCCAGGTATGCTTACAAACTCTAGAACCCCTTCAACAAAAGCTATAGAACAATTGTTCTTCTTGTTGATCAAGTAAAATAGGTTTTTTTCTGCATTGTTGTAAGACTCCAACTCACTCTCATCTTCAAAACTTGCAGATTTGCAAGGCATTGATCTCCAAAGTGATGTTCCACTGTTACTTGAGCTGGAAAGCTCAACAAAATTTGATCTGGGATTACAGTTTAATTGCAGGTGTTCCCCTGATTCATCTTTGGCATACAATGAAGTCAATGAAAACCATTGGTATGAAGACTTCCATATTTTTTGGTAATGATACTTCACCTAAATGAAAAAAGGTTTCAATTTTTCATCAATAGAATGAATAGAATGATGCTATTAACTTGTTCATGTCATAATTAGTCAACTACAAACCTTGAAAAGAGCCATCTGTGGTGCAAGTGAATAATGCATTGAACCAGACAAACGATAATTTCTATCTTCACCTTCTGCCACAATATACATATGCCTATTATGTATGAAGCACAAAACTTGTCAATGGAGTTTGTGGTAATAACTAATAAACTTGTGAACTACAATAAGAAAAGGAAAAAAAAAAAATTACCATCTTGGATCATCTCCTCCAGGTTTCTCATGGGTTCCTCTTCATTATGCAATTGCCTTTGCTGCACAGTGGCAGTTGTTTCTTTTGTGGAGACCCCAGAAATTTCAGCAATTGATAGCAACATCTGGAGACATAATAGCATATGCCATATAACTATATAAGCATCAACTTGTAGGTTCTATAATTTTTAAAATAAGCATGATGTATAATTGAATTCTTACCTGAATCTCGGACAATGATATTGTCACATCAAAACCTGAAATAGAACCACTGCCAACCCAAGGTTGAGTTGATTTTGATGTATCAGCAGAGTCCCTTGCTACAGGCTCTTCAGCTGCTATGAAACAAGTTAATTGTCTCAAAATGTAGTTTTCAGAATCTTGATGAGAATCTTCATTGGATAGTTCTATATGTGAATCAGAAGTGGAGCTGCTTGCATCATTTGCTACAGAATGAATATCATTTGTTGGAACTAATGCTGCTTGAAGGAAAGATGGATCTGTGCTAGAAGACCTAAGAGGAATCTGAACTCTGCTATTTTGATGTTTGATAGAGTCTTGAAGAACTCGAGAAAGAATTGACAATTGGGGAAGACGAAATGATAATTTTTTCTTCATATTCACAACTTTAAGGTCCAAATCCATGTCAGCACTAAACAGAAGCTCTTCAAGTCTTCCTGCACAACATCCATCACCAAAACATGTTAAGCCTATTTTTGTAAAATATGAAAACATGAGAGAGAGAGAGAGAGGTACCAGATTCATCTCTACCAATTAAGGCAAGATAAAACTGAGAGAGATGCATGGTAAGATCTTCAGGTATGCCTGCAGTTTGTGTCTCTTGGATTGAAGAGGCTTCAAGTGTAGTGATATTTGAACTATGGGAAACTGGAAATAGATGTTTGATGCGACGTGTGTATGAATCTCCACATTGAGAGAACATCACAGCTGATGTGGTTTCAAGGAAGATAATGCCACCCTGTCAAGTCCATGTCAGCAACATCATGATTCCATTTTGTCATATATACTAACACATCCCACTTCAATCAACATAGTAGACAAAAAAAAATACAAAAAGTGATATTAAAGTCAAATGTGAGAGAAAATTATAGAAGTAAGTCATGAGAATGGCACCTGACAATGGCAAGAGATGCTTTTCTGAAAGCCACCCTCAATAGAAAGTGATATCTCAAGCTTACTTGACTCATGTTTTCCAATTATTACATCCTTTAAAGGGCATCCTACCACATAGAGTTCAGTGGAGGAAATTTTTGCTTTGAAACAAGTATTTGAAATAGAAGTAGAACTACCAATTGCTCTGTGGGATAATGATGATTCATTGGGAAGATTTGTCAAAGACAAATCCAATTTGCAATTGGAAACTGAGGATTCACATATATTTTCTAACAGATTATGGAGATCAGACCTATTCATGACATCATCATTTGCATATCTGAAAATAACAGCTCGTAAACCAAGGAAATCAACAAGCCCTTGTATTTTCCCTTGGTTCTTTTTGTATGAGAACTTCATATGCATTTTCTGAAGAGTAATCTGAATTCCATTATCAGGCAAGAAGTTTGCAGACAGATTCTGGCTCATAAAGGATTCAGAGATTGTGACTTGATTCTCTATGGCATTGACTTTCCTTGACTTGTGAATGATTATATCCACTGACTGGATTTCAGATGTGCATTTAAGAATATAGAGAGTGGTCAGAATGACCAAGGGCATTCCAGTAATTGAACTCATCAGCATCTCATTTCCAGAACTAACATGTAACATCTCTTGAGTATCAAAATAATTAGAATTTCTAGAAGTAGATGTGTTGCTTGTGATCAATGTGTTTGATAGAGCAAAGATCAAACTATTAACCACCTGTCACACAAAAAACATCCAGTGAGTCAACATAATTCATCACAGAAACAAAAACTTCTATTCAATTCAGAGAAAATGTTCAAAGTTGTTATAAGCAATCATGGAAAAGTGAAGAAATTGTAGGTGTTACAGGAAAAATTAAGATATCAGGGAAGAAGAAGAAGAAGAAGAAGAAGAAGAAAAAGAAGAAGATGAAGGAAATTACCTCGACTAAAACAGACATTTCATCAACAAATATTAGACCTGAGATCCCTGAAGCATTCCCATGTAGGACTGCAGAGAAAGCGCTTACACTTTTTCCAAGAGACCAATTATCCTTCCTGTCATAAAACAGAAAGTAAAGTAAATAAAAATAAAGCACAATGACACCCAAAATTAATGAAAAACAAGAATGAAGTGTGCCATACCTTAGTGTTGAAAGTTGAACTGTTATTGGCTTTACTGTTATAATCTTGGAGTGTTGGACTTCAGATGAGTCATCAAGGTAAGCATTTATACCATGAATTTTTAAAGATGCATCAAGCCTTATTTGCCCTTGACACTGGTAGCTTCCATTATTGGAATTAGCCATGTTAACTACTTGAAGCTCCATCATATGCATGCACTCTGTTGCTGAATCATTTAATAGACTGGGTGACACCAAGAGTTCAATGTTTTTACAATCAAAAGAAAGGTGAATATCATCAACTGCTTTATGCAAACTATCCTTTCTCAGTGATACTCGGATTCGAGGACCAACTACATATACTCCAACTTCAATAAGCTTTTCTGGTATTACTTTATGAAGTTCCTTTTCCATTTCAGCAATACATGAATCAATATCCCAGACTCTCACTAATGGAGCCTCAAATGTTGGAGTAGAAGTTTGTACTTTCTCCCAACTGAAAGCATTCTGTATCTGCCTAAGAAGTAGAGTTAATGATAATGCTGATGAATATCCCAAAAAGAAATCTAATTGTCCCACTGCTAAACAACATTTTGTAAATCGATGACTCAAGCTACTCTCCCCCTGATCTGTCAAAAAATGCTTCATCTCAAAGAGAATGAAGGGATCTTTCAAGGTCTCATCCGTAATTTCACCAAATTCTGCACAAGATGTCTTCCAATCCAACCATGTTTGATTTAAAATGGTTTCCAGAAGTGGGAGGGAGGTAGAAATTCGATCTTGGTTAAAAACAAGAGCAGGCTTACTCCATAAGACAGTTTCTGAGTCTAGAACTTTAGGCTTCTTTCGTCCTTTAGAAGAATATTCATAGTCATTTATAACCTTGACACCCCCACAGGAGAAAGTCAAATGACTCTCACAGATATTTTCGTTGTAAAGAAGGATAAATGAATCAAGTATTAAACAGAAAGAAAGTAGATCCATGTGTGAAAGTGAAACCCTCCTGTCTGTAACAGCTTTTTTCCCAACAGAATGTTTAGTGTTGTTATCAGGGGAAATGGTGATGGAAATTTTTCCCAAGTTTAGTCTGTAACAAAGATTTGGGAAGGAATCTATTGGAAGAACTCCAACTCTTTTTGTGTTAAACATGCTACACAAAGTAGTCCATATAAGACAAAGTAATTGGAATAGCTTTTGAAAATACTCCAAGTACCTATTGACTTGGACCTCCTCTTTGCTTGAAACACCATTGTTGACTTTTCTGCATCGGATGACTCGACGTGCAAGTGCAATAGCTGGAGGAGGTATTCCTTTCTCAATTTCAGAAATTACTTCCCATTGATGCCTAAAAGTTTTTGAAAACATCTGGTTTTTGGACATCTTTACAGCTGATCTTTTTATCATTATGTCCATAGGATAATATCCGATCAGTAAAAACAAATTCTCCCAGGCATGTACATAACGCAACCATAGGATAACTACACCAACTAATTTCTGCATTGACCATTTACGTGTTGAGATCAATGACCGAATTCTGGTTGCAGTTTCTTTCCAGAGTTGTCTTCCGTTTCTTATTGATGGGGATTTTCTTGATGATTCCCTCACAATAATTGATAAAACAGAGACATCTGCTGGAGAAAATGAAAACAGTAATTCCTCAATTGAACAATTGAGTTCACTCAACTGAAGATCACTCAACTTTGAGGAACAGATAATATCGGTTGCAGAAAACACTGGGCTAAGATGATCATGGCTCTTCAATCTTATCTTTAAACCTCTGATTTCAAGATCAAAATAGCTCTCTTTAGGATTTACAATAAGTGAATTGACGTACCCTCTGAGGAAAGATTGAGGTTTGACAAGTCGAGAGCCTGCATTAAGCTCCTCTATCTCCAACAAGCATGCAATGGAGTCATCTGAGATGGCATGTTGCAGTTGTAGATTGATATCAGTCATCTGTAAGGAACAATAATTCAGGATAAGCTTTGGGAGGGAAGTTTTCTGGCTCCTTGATGGGGAAATATTCGCAAGCTTTTCCATGATATCAAACAATTCACTACCCTGTGATCCATCAGAAAGTCATTAAACGATATGATAAAAGCTATGGAATAGAGACCAAATTCAGAACTTTAAATGAAATACCTCAGGGTCAATTTCACGTAAAACCTTCTTCTTGTCCTCCAACAACACCTCCGATGGTTCCCGGCTGCTTCCCCTCCCCTCCACTATCCTTCCACGTCAAGCGACATTGCCAAAATAAATGAACAAAAAACCGAAAACAATCCAAACTACATAAGTGAAAATGTATACATAAACAGACACTTGTATATAGCATACCTCGGCGATATAGTGATATGGAAACCTTGAACTTCCCAATTGAATGCAGGAGCAGACCAGTTGGTAATCCGGAGGGTCAATTGATCAATTCTGAAGTCGGTGAAGTAAAAGCCAGTAGAATCGTCTAGAAGCGCGTTCAGTGCTGAAGTATTGAAGCGGAGGCTCTTGGCGATTCCATGAGAACGAAGAAACCCTAACTTGAGTTCCAACTCCGGTTCTTGCAGCAGCCATGGTTGCAACACTGATTCTAACTTGCGCTTAATAAAGTCGGTTATAAACATTGCAATTAGTTCTGGAAATAGGTTCTTTCAAATGTACAGATTAACGCCATTTTTGGAAAAGCTTTTCTGAGTGTATCGATGATTAAGCTTTCTCAGATTCAGATATGGTTGTTACTCTTCGAATTCGTCTTCGCGGGCTTGAAAGGGAAGTTTGTTGAAAGTAAAGGGCATGGATTGCGAAAACAAAAATAATATACTATTTATATTATTTTCGATGTCGACCAAAGTTTATGTTTTCTTTTTTATCAAGTTATTTATATGTGAATTAAATGATATAAATAAAATGAGATAAGATATTTTTAAAAGACTATATTGATTTGTGGAAATCTTATCCGATTTTATAAAACAAATGATTATTTTCTTAGTGTAGGCATCTAATTTATTATTTATGACTAGAAAACTGACATGTTCATTTATCTGTATAATTTATAATTTTGTAGGTAAGGCACTAAGGTGGCGATTAATATAACAAAATTTGGATTTAAATATTTGTAAACTAAGGTAATAAATTAGCTTAAATACATTTTCAAACTATTAAAATATTATAAATAATTAAAATATAGACAAAACTTTCCCTGTGGTTTTCGAAAATATCAAGTTTAGTCCCTAAGTTTAAAAAACCTCACAGATCTTCCATGTGGTTTCAAAACTTTTAACATTTCGTCTTTCCGGCTCACTCCGTTACCATTTAGTCGTTAAGTCAGGGGCATTTTTTATCATTTCATTACCCAATGACCATTTATGAGGTTTTCTATTACTTTTTTTTAAATAAATAAATAAATTTAATATGCAAGGGTCCCACCTCTCTCTCTCTCTCTCACACACACACACACCAGCCATAAAATCCTTGGCTATAAATTTGAAACTCGTTCTCTTCATCATACGATCGATTCCAAAGCTCACTTGTCTTCCACTGCTATTTATTAACTAAGAAAACCTAGAAGAAAATCAAATACCCAAAAGCAAATCAGAAACCCAATAATTCCAAACAAACACCAGATGAAGATCAAGGTATCAATTTTTTTTTTTTGTATGTGTGGAGGGGGTATTGAAATTATTCTCTAGATGATCAGACAACCAACGGGAAGTGGCTGTCGAAGGTAATTGATGATGAATCGACCTTGCTTGAGCAAGGATTAGGGGAAAATTAAACCTGCAAATCAGTTTCCGATGAGAGAAGGGAGAATCGGAAACAAATAATAATAAGAATCAAACGTTTTGTGTGTGGTTTTCACCTGGATATTTAACCACAGTTCGATGGATGTATTTGGTCGGCGATGTGGAAGACCCATCATTAACGATAAGAACCTCTGCATCATTTTTCGATTTATGGAGGTTGAAACTGAGTCAGATGGGCCTTCCTTTGCAGGTTTCCATTTCTTCCATCGATTTGAAGGATCTCAAACCTTAATTTGCTGGTTTACATGTCTCCACAATCTGCCGGAGGAATGGTGGTAACTGATTTACTCATTTGTGCTCATATGGTCGATCTTATCACATGTCATAGATGGATACATATGACAAGTGTTTATTTGTATAAAGAGAGAAACTGAGAAAGCACCTGGATTTTCTAGGACGAAAATAGACATATGAGAGAGAGAGAGAGGTGGGACCCTTGCATATTAAATTTATTTATTTATTTTAAAAAAAGTAATAGAAAACCTCATAAATGGTCCCTGGTTAATGAAATGACAAAAATGCCCCTGACTTAACGGCTAAATGGTAACGGAGTGAGCCGGAAGGACGAAATGTTAAAAGTTTTGAAACCACAGGGACGATCTGTGAGGTTTTTTGAACTTAGGGACTAAACTTGATATTTTCGAAAACCACAGGGACCATTTTTGAAGTTTTGTCTAAAATATATTTATAAAATAAAGTAAGTATATATTAGAGCTAACACACATGTAGCACCCTAACATGTTACTAGTATATACCTCCAAAATAGTCATAACATATAGAATCTCTCATGTCGACAACTAGGATAGATAGCCACTTGAGTGGTTATTAAGTTGGCTGGTTATGATGTAAATATCTTAAGAAAATTTATTTGTTGACATTTTTAGGGTCCTCCTATTCGTACGAAACGAGTCGTGTAATTGTTTTGGTATTTGTGCCTGAAGTTTGAAAACTGACAATCTGTTACAACCGCTTTATATATGAAAATGTTATTATATAATTTCTCATTAATCCCTTTATTAATACACAATGTTCATATTTCATCCTATACTTTTTCGACTTTTAAAAATTCACTATATTAATCTATTCTATTAGAAATATGCTCATATGTGTATGATAATATTTAAAAATATATACATAATTTTTAACCTATAGTATTAGTCTAATTCATTTGTAAACTCAATCAACATTTAAAAATTAGTTTTTAAAAACTCAATTAGTATTTAAAATTAATTAGTGTTTTAAAAAATTAGCATTTAGAGTTGGTGTTTATTAACTCAAGTAGTGTTTAAAATTAACATTTACAAACTTAATTAACGTATTAGAACTCAGTTGGCGTTTAAAAACTCAATTAGTGTTAATTAGAAAATAACACTTTCATAAGTTTAAAATTATACAAATATTGAAGGATCATAAACCGTTATTAAATTAGTGTTTTTTTCTAACATGGGAAATCCATCGGCATTTCGTTTTTTTTAATATGTATATAAATAAAAAAGAAAGCTATAAATAAAATGGGAAAATACAAATCTAGCAATTTTTGTTAATTATTTATCAAAAAATAGCCAAAAAAAATAATACCTAGCCAAAAATAGCCCTTAAAAACGTAGTCAACTTTTGGTTGACTACGGTCAACGTTGTTGACTATTATTTTATGCCTTAAAGTAGTGTTTCGTGCTAATAGGCTACTGTTTCACGGGCCCGTTTACTTTTTCGTGGCCCATTAGCCCAAAGTATATATAATGAAATTTTTTTCAGATTAGGTCATTTTTCCTATTGTTTTCTTTGGTTTGGCTACTTTTTTGTCTCAATGGAGCACCCGAAGAACAACCAGGTTTGTCTACTTTTCATCAAAATTTTACCGTGTTTGTGATTAGGAGTAGGTTTTGTATATGTGGTTAAATTCTTTTTGAAAAAAATCGAAAAAAAATATATACAACTGTAGGTTTCATACTAAACCTACGGTGTACAAGTGTCGATGATTAGACTTCAAGTTTGTTGCACAACAAGTGTGTTCGTCAACAACTTTTGTGACTTGGAAAGCAGTAGTCGATTTGATTCCCCTTGCCCTAACCATCCAAGAACAATTTTCTACCAAACAAACCACCTCGAACCTCTCTTTGCTCGATCTGGTAGTCTTATACTGCTTACATTGTTCCATGCATTGTCTTCCAATTGCAAGCTTGAGCAACTCTTTGTCATAAAAAATGTCTAGAACCTTAATCTCTTCATTTATATCCAGCCTCTGACATGGAATGTTCACATCATCGTTTACAGGACACGAAGGCAATGGGGGCATACCATGAAACATGTTATCTGAATAAATAAGTTTAGGTTCATCATCAAATTCTTCTCCGTTAGAATCACTCTCTAGGACGGATATATCCAACTTATCATAATCCGCAAACTCGCCATATCCTTTTAGTTCACCATAATTGGAACATATTAAGTAAAAGGTTTAAAATAAAATTTTGAAAAACAAAAGGTAAATTTTGAAAGATAAATAAAAGCATGAGGACAACATTTGAAAATTAAAATAACATTATATTCGGGATATATATATATATATATATATATATATATATATATATATATATATATATATATATATATATATATATATATATATATATTGGGTGCTCCTATATACACGAATAAAATCGTGTAATTGATATGTGTATTAATATGTGTGTCAATCATTCTATCTCAATTATTGTATTAATATGTGTGCCAATCATTCTATCGATAAAATGTAATATTACAATTTTATACCCTCAGTTTACGTTGTAGTTTTAAAAAAGACCCTAGATTTTATCAATTTAAATCTTAAACCCTTAAAACTTTATTAATTTTGAAAACTAACAAATAGAAACATATTATTTATTCATAAAAGTTGTATAATTAAAATGATCTCATTAATACATTTACAAGAAGAGTAATAATGAATATTATTAAATATTAATAGAAAAAAATTAATTTGTTAAATAAGAAATATAAACTATGAAACATTAACAAAAATAGAAGGGATAAAAATGAAAATTTGGTTACAATTTCTTTCTATATATAGATTTTCTTATATGTTAAACTGAAAGTGACTTGCAATGTTATTTTGAAAGTAACTTTCCTTAAAAGCAAACATACGATACTTGTTATAAATATAGATTTTATTAAATGACAAGTTGGGAAGAATGGATGGGTGACACATATTATGAGGTATTTGTACTTAACCTTTCTTATTATTATTATTATTATTATTATTATTATTATTATTATTATTATTATCATCATCATCATTATTATTATTATTATTATTATTATTATTATTATTATGTTTTTCTCTTTGTTATGTTTAGAGAGATGATATTCATCCAATGGAGACAAATGAAGTAGATGAAAATAATAGCTTCAATGAAAGTAACTATTTTTTCGACGACACATCGTCATTCGAAACGGATATTCATCCAATGGACACAAATGAAGCAGATGAAAATGAAAGTTTGAATGAAAGTCGTTATTTCTTCGATGACACATCACCATTCAAAACAGATAAGGTATAAATTCATTAGTATGTTGTTACAGTAATGTTAGCATCGAGTGGATTTATTAGCTACTGATAATAATATAATTGCCAGGTGTTCAATTCTCGTCAAGAATTGATGAAATTGGGTGCAAAATATGGCAAATACTTTAGGTTATGTCATCGTCATAAAAAATTCGAAACGTAACTTTAATGTTGTATTTCAATGTGACCGTGGAGGTACATACAAAAGTACAAAAATCTCTAAAAAAGACAGGGACAAAAAAAATTAATTGTCCATTTAGCC